AAGGGAAGATTATAAAGTGGATAGCCCTCATAATTGCTCAAATGCATCTTTGTGCAAATTAGAAAAAGCTGCCCCTGTCTCATGACATTTTAGTATCATTTTCTGAAAAATTTATTTTACAATTAAACAAACCAATCTGTGCTATCTGTGAATGGAAATGGTTCACCTATAGCTGTGCAACGTATAAATTGCATAATGGTATATGGTAGGTAGCTCTAAATTTGAAGTTTTTCTTCAGATTTATACTCATAGCTATACAATCTAACAATGTTAAGAAAACATTTTTTTCTGAAAATGCTTTTTACACACGATTTTCACATTATTAGGATGGGTCTAAATTTCTTAATGTGGCCTAAGAAGACCTTTCCAATATTATTAGTTATTTTCAATTTTTCCAAGTTCCCTTTTAGTCTCTACCAATATGTACCTGTTTTTAAAAAGTTTCATAATGGTAATCAGCATTCAATTTTCTACTCTGATTTTCCCACTTACAATAATAACATAACATTTTTATTGCTATATTCTTTCTTTTAATGATGTATTCTATAATTTTATATCAAGCAAATATATTATAATAAATTCAACCACACTCCTTTTGTAATTTGAGGAACTTTAATCTGTATGCTATGGTTGGTAATACTGAACACATAGGAAATAAAGTTATATTGAAAACCTTTAGATAAAGAAGTTAATTAGATAGTATAAACAGGTAAAATAACTATCCTTCGAAAAAAATCATACCAAGATGAATATTCTATTGGACTATGGTTAATGAGCTAAATTTGTATCTGGATATTTTTTGTCTAAAGATCATATTACCTCATTTGTGTTTACATTGTTGAAAATGAGCCATTTTAGGATTAATAACTCAGGAGGTACATTCCTCATAAACACAGTGCAGTGAGATACACTGCAGAGAAGCAACGGGGTGTAGTGGAAAATATGTGGGTTTTGGCATCAAATGGATTTGGACCACTGTGCTTTGAAATCTTATGTTCCACAAAAATGGCTCATACCAGAATGCTCATAACAGCTTTATTTATAACACTCCAAACTGGAAACAGCCAGGTGTACATCAATAGGAAAATGGATAAATAAACTGTGGTATAGTTTAAACCCATGGAATACTATTTGGCAATAACGGAATGAACTTCTAACACACACAAAAACATGAGTGAAGCTCAAAATTATGCCCAGGGGAAAGAAGGCTTACACAACACTAGATAGTTTATGATTCCATGACCTGAAGACCTAGAACAAGTGAAGTTAACCCATGTGAAAACAAAACAAAACAAAACAAAACAGAACACTGGTTGCTTCTAGAGGTTGAGGTGGAAATTTACTCAGAAGAGATATAAAAGAACTTTCTGGAATGACAGACATGTTCATGTTCTGTAACTTAACGGAAGTTTGGATTGTACATAGGTATGTGCTTTTCTGAGATCATGTCATGACACCCTTAGGATTTGTGCACTTCATTGTATGTAAAATGTCACAAAGAAAAGAACCTAAGCAAATAATGAACTCTAGTTAATGATACACATACCCAAGTATTTCAACTTACTTTGAAATTCATAAGAATTGAGATGGATTGGTGGGTGGATAGAAAGATTGAGGTACAGACAGGTAAAGAGTAAGCCTGCTCTAACATGTTGGTTACAGAATCTCGGTTTTCCTGTGTTATTGAAAATGTTCATGATAAAACATTGGAAAGCCTTTTTTTAAAAAAAGATTTTATTTATTTATTCATGGACACACACACACACACACACACACACACACACAGAGGCAGAGACACAGGCAGAGAGAGACACAAGCAGGCTCCATGCAGGGAACCTGACATGGGACTTGATCCTGAGTCTCCAGGACCATACTCCAGGCTGCAGGCGGCGCTAAACCGCTGTGCCACGGGGGCTGCCCTGGAAAGCCTTTTTTGATCTTGGGCATTGCTCATGAACTTCTCAAATTCAGTTTCTGCAAAATGGGAGTAGTCGTATTTATTTCACAAAGTTGCGAAGTTAAAAAAAAAATGGCCACAAAGATAGGCCTGTTAAATAGTAGACATTCATGTACCTGGCAAGGCAACTCGCCTTCTCTCTGGTCCCCTCTTACCCGTCTTGCCAGTTTATAATATGTAAAAGATATGTCTTAGGATTCTGCAGCACTGCCTACAACCAGGTGGTCGAAAATAGCACAATTATTGGTGTTATGGGCAATGAATGGTCTACTGCCTGGGGATGATATCTTTCTTGAGTGGACAAACAGCTTTCATGGGTAGCAGTGGCTTAGACTCCACAGAGGAGGGACAGCCTGTGGTGATACTTGTTCCAAAGAGATTATTGGAAGGGAGAGAGGCAGGACAGAGTGGATACTGATACTGACCAGTTAAAAAACAAAATAGTTCTTTAGCTCACTAAGAGCTCTATTTGTGAGCACCCACTTATTTCAGAAATGTTTATCAAGGGCCTACAGCATGCCTGGTATTGTGCCAGGAGCTGGGGGTGTAGAGATGGATGAGGCCAAGCACAGACGTAGGTGCCTCTCCTCTTGGAGGTTACGTTCTAGCAGGGCTAAAGTTGGTTGGATGTACAGAAATCATCTGTTAGCTTACAAGTCTTTATTGACTATTCACTCGGTGCCAGCACTTAGAATACCATGATGAACCAAACATGCTCACACTCTCCTAGAGCTTACCACCCAACAGAAAAGGCAAATTTGATCAATCCTCAGCAATTCACACAGTATAAATTATAAATGTGCAAAACACTATCAAGAAGTACAGGTTACTTTAGGAAATTTAGGCAGAAGACTATTCCCCTGTCGCTTGGGTGAAAAGAATTTCCCCACTAAACTTTTCTCAGAGTTAAGAGAGTAAGGTGAGCACAGAAAGACCAAGCCAGCCGTGGCTCACAGCAGGTCAACGATGGACTGAAGAACAGAATCAGTCATACCACGGGGCAGTATTGTCAGTCACGCTGTTTGCTCGTTCCTTTCGACTTCTTGTTAGTTTATGCCTTAGGAGTTCCAGTGTGATTTGGCCACAGAAAGCCAGGTGAGAGTCGCTTCTAGCCACTCTGAGGACTTCTAGAATTAAGTCTCTCATATGTTTGATCACCACTTCCGTGGTGCCAGCAAGCTGCTGGAGGAGACACAGGGCCTGGGATCATTCCTCCAAGCCATTATACAATTTACCTCCTGCGAGAACATGACCCCACCCCCCAGTGAGGTCACTGGCTCTGGGCAGAAAAGGTGGAAGCAAAGAGAACACGGAGAGCTGATGAGAGGTCTGCATGTCACAGATTAAAAACTGCTCTCCTACAATCATAACATGGGCTGGGAACAAATAAACACTGAAGCATCACTGCACTTGAGTGGGGACAAGCTGATCTAGGGGATTCCGAAACACTCACCCCTGAATCAGGATGGGGCTGGGCTGTGTTTGAAAAACTTCCCTTTCCTAGCACGATGGGCAGACAGACATACAGCAGGTGGACAGTAAGTGCTAACTGAATTACCACAGGTTTCTTTCCATTCACTACCCGATTTCCTGGATGGATAAGAAAAATATAGAAATATCTAGTGATGAGCAAAGACAATGGACACATGGTAAGTTCATTTAGAGTTGTCAAGAAGTCAAAAGTAAGTCCTGGGTGGTTCAGCTTCTGCCTATGGCATAGATCTGCCTCTCTGTCCAGGGAGGTGACCAGGACAAAAGGGAATATTTCCTGACAGCTTCTTAAAATCAAGAAGGGTTGAAAGTGAAGGAAGCCAAGATAATCTGAGAAGGACAAGGAAGAAAAACTAGGATTTCAAAGAGCTATGGCATGAGACTGCCTGGCTTCACAGTCTCAGCTCTTCCACTGACTAACGTGCTATGAAACTTTGGGCAACCTAGCTTCCATTGTCTCTTCTGTAATATGGGTACCTGCTCACAAGCGTTTTTTTTTCTCAAAAGAATTGTCTTTTTAAAAAAAAAAATCATCAGGGTTAATGCCCTTAGCACAATTTCTAGCACATAATAAATGCTCCATAAATTTTAGTTTTCAGTCCTAATGATTTTTTTTAAATGATCCCAATTTCCTCTCTAAGATTTTTCATTAAGCATGATTTGCTAGATATGTAACTGGAGATAAAATTATCACAATTCTGAAAGACCTTTGGTATAAATATATTCAAAAATCACGGGGGGGGGGGCGGGAATCCTTTTTCTCACCCCCTGATTTTTGTCTCTGATATCTATGGCCACTACCTCCACACAATGGGTCATTAGTCTGGTCTCTCTGAGCTGGAAACAGCCTCCTCCCCCAAGCGGACTGTCCCACAACTTGACTGAAGAGTCCGGGTTGGATCCTCTCTCAAAGACAACTATGTGTGAATGAACTGGATTACTCTGCTGTGGTTCCGGAGCGCCGCAGGTCCAGAGAATGCGCACGGTCTGGGTCCCTGCGGCGGGGCCTGGGGCCTGGGGCCTGGGGCCTGGGGCCTGGGGTCTGGGCCTGGGGCCTGGGGCCTGATTTGCCTGCCAGGCCTTGCAGAGAAAGAGTAACAGACCACATTCACCCAGAGCAAAGTCAGGCTGACACAGGGAAGGTGTTTTATGCTCTGTTTAAATGGTGAGTGTCACGACTCTCGGAGTAACAATCTGGCTGAGAAACTGGCGCACACTTCTCCTTCTCGTTTGCCTCTGGTGCTGCAAGACCAACCGGTGGCATCTGTGGGCGCTCCGGCCCGTCACTCTCCCCCTTCCTTCCGACCTGCAGGCTTCTCTTCTCTGCCTGTTTCCCGAGAGCCGCTGCCCCTCTGCCCCCACCCCCGCTTGTGGCCAAGGCCCGGTCCGAGCTCCGTGGCCAGGCCCGCTGACCCCTCGCTCCCAGCCCGGCCTCCGGAGGCGAAAACAGTCCTCAGAGCCCGGCCCTCCCACCGCCCGTGATAGGCCGCCTGGAATAGCTGCAGCGCGTGTCACCGAGAAGGGCAAAGCCTTCGGAAACAGAGACCAAGCTGGTCGCGAATCTCCCTGGCTTTGCCCAAAGTTCCCCGCTCCTTCTTCAGCGTGCGAGCATGGGGACCGTGACGGCTGCTGGCAGAGCGGGCCGCCGGGGTGGCCGGGGGCCGCGGCGGCCGCGGTGACCTCCGCGCGACCGTGGCACCTGCGGAAAACCCCGAGGGCCCCGGGCTGCTGAGCCCGCGGGACACGGCGGCGGAGGCGCAGCGCAGCGGCAGCCCGCGGCCTGCCCGGGCCCGAGGTAAAGCGGGGCGCTCCGGCTCCCGCTCCTGTGTGCGTGTGTGTGTGTGCGCGTGCGAGGTGCGTGCACGGGGAGAGGGGACAGCGTCCCGGGGGAGGAGCGGGCAGGAGGTGTAACGTGAAGATCCGGAAGCCCCGGGCCGGCGGGTCGGGTCCTCCGATGGGTTGACAGAATGTGCGACTCCTTCGTTTGGGGAACAGTCACTGGCAAGAGAGTCCCATGTGTAAACACACACGCACACACACGCACACACACACACACACACACACACACTTTTTCATTTATTGGCCCAAGTGGACAGTGTGTCACAAGCGGACGTTTAGACCCACCAGGTTTTCGATCGGTATCTCAAGTAGCCTTCAGAAAAGTAGTTACGTAATCAATGAACGCGACTTTCTTTTCTGAAGTTCCCAGCCAGAGCCTGTCATGAATTTCTAATGAATTTCCAGCCTAAAACCTCTGCTTGATTTGCTCCCGCTCTCTTTCCAACTGGCCTTTCAAAAACTCAGGTTCCTTTCCTGCTTCTTCCTCCCGGAGGTGGAATTTGACAAAGTTTTAATTCATTTCAGGGGTCTTTTGCTACACCAAGTGCTGGCCTTCGCTTCCACGTTCACAATCCCACAAACACGGCGCAAGCTCCTGGCTAACCTCTCCTACTCTGTTAGTCAGTTCCCAAAGGAATAGAAAGGATCACAATAGGAAATTAAACCGAACACAGATAATTCTGCGTAAGGCTTTCCCCAGCTCTGCTCCCCTTCACCATACAGTAAGTGGATTCCCAACCATCAGTTGGAACTTCATGAATAATCCAGAACACTAAGTGACACAAAAGGCATGTACCTTCCACCTTGTGACGGCTTTATAAAGTCATGTTTGCACCCTGGGTTTGTCTGATCCGGGGCTTGAGTCCGTGACACCACCCCAGCCTCCCCACCCCCCGCGGAAGGCCTGGAGAGGCTCCTCAGCAAGGAGCCTAGGTCAGCCTTCCCAGCCCTGATCCCTGCTCAGCTTTGCTCCAGCTTTCCCACTTGTGGTCAAGAATGAATGCCTGGGGTCACGCTTCAGGGTGGCCAAGTCCTCTCCCAAGCGGAGCTCCTCTTCTCCACCTGTGCTTTTTGTCTCTGAGCAGCCCAGGAAGGCTTGTGTTTGAGGGTTCAGGGAGAGAGCCGCAGTGTTCTCTTCGACTTCCTGAAAGATTGAGCTGCAGAGCTCGTGGAGGTGCCCAAATCAACAAAAGGGTTCACTAAATAGTTGGTGATAATGTCACAAAGAAGAAAAGAAACTCTGTCCCGAGGGGGCCTCTACAGCAACAATGAAAAACGAACGGTTTTAATTTCGATAGGGCTTTGAAAGCACTGTGTACTCCTAATAGGTTTAACTGCACAAGTGCACAATTATCCTGAGGTAGGGTCACGAGTATTTGTGTTTGGAAAGATTCCAGATATGCACAAAATGCAATTAAAGTGCAACTGTTTATGTTCAAAAGAAGTGAAAAATGAATAAATACTGTAAGTTATTTTTAAATTTTTAAAATCTAATTCTAATGAAACTTCATTGCGTAGAAAAGGAAGCTGAAGTGTTTTCCCCAAACCTTAAATGAACAAAACTTTGATTTGTGCTATAGTTTATATTTAGATGAATACAAAACATTTTAGTACTACTTGTGCAAATTTTCCTAAGTTGTCTGAGATGGACCCAAAGGTAATGTTACATACATCTGTATCGACCGAATGCATAGTGCAAGTTCACTCTGTGGTTTGGGATTATACTTTAGTCTGTTTTATGAAGATGTTGAGGCTTAATGAAATAACGCTTGTCAAATACTTCTTTTCACTTCTTTGTATTTTAAGCTTTCATAGTTTCATCCAGGAAATTCAGACTATTTAAATATGCTCAATAATTATCATACTTGCCCTGCATTTGAATATAACAGGTTTTTCTATATTCCTAGATGGGAAAATTAAAGCACAAAGAGGAAAGAGTCCTACAACTCAGGGCAAGATAATTAAATCATTTGGGATACCAAAAAAACAAATCAAAACAAGAATTTCTAAACTCCGTGATAGCACCCGTTAATGCTTCGATGTGCAATGAAAAGATCTCATGCGGCCATCCCTGCTTAAACTGGAGAGAATGCTTTGTTCCAATGGCTAGGAGCTAAACACTTAAATTCCTTTTCAAAAAGTTATAATTCAAAGTGCATATATTTTCAGTAAATTTTTCAGTGCTTACAGACATAAACGACCTCCTAGGCAGGACTGAGCTCAATCCTGATGCCCAGAGCTGACCACAACATAGGTGATGTTAGGAAAGTGCAGGGCTAGAACATCTCACACAAGGGAGAGAAGGTGTGTGGTTGGCGCAGGTCTACTCAGTGCTGGCACAAACTCACCTCGGTGTCTCTGGCCTGGGAGGCCTGATGCCTGCTCTTCCATCTCAGGAAGTGGGTCTCTCAGGCTCTTCCAATTTCATGTTTCAAAAGTCTGAGATTTAAGAGATGCTCACTTGTGTTAATCAGATGAATAGCCAAAGGCAGTTGTTCTCAGACTTATTTAAATCTGTGAAACTCCTTTTTACAAATGAAAAGCTGAAGAGGTGATCTATATGTAAGAGAGGTAATCTTAGCACATGTCTGGAGGACAGAGGGGAGGCAGAGCAAGGAAAATCCTGTGGCAGGTGGCTCCCTGCTCCCTTGTTTTTTAAAAATAGATTTATTTATTTACTCATGAGAGACACCCTGCTCCCTTTCCATCCATGTATCGCTGAAGGCTGAGCAGGGTCCTGGGTGGGGCCACGTTAGCAAACCGCAGGTCCATCACTTCTCCGCTCATGCAGGCCATGTCTTTGAGGTCAGGGCATTTTCACTATGCTCTTACTGAGTCTTGGATTCTCAGGGTTAGCCTAAAGCAGGCCCGCTTGGATTTAGTCCGGCTTAGCTTTCTCACCCTTCTTTGGGCAGCTTGAGAGGAAGTCTACTTGTAAGAGAGCGGAGAAGACTTTTAGAAGCAAGCTTATCCCCAGGGAAGAGTAAGTCTGGCCAAACAGCTCCACCCCCTAACAGAGCTTGGTTGTGAGACAAAGGGTTCCAACTACAAGGAACCAGTCATTTGGGGAACACCCGGGGCCTTAGCGATTACCATTTTTTCCGGGCTTTCCATCAGTGAAAGAGTGATAAATCCTGTGACAAAAAATTATTGTGTTTTAAGAACAGGCGTTATTTAATAAGTTGATAGCTGATAACAAATTAATGTATGCAGCTTGATATTGCCATGGGAATGACAGGATTTATAGGTATGCTAATCTATGAGGCCCTGTAGACTCTTGTCTGGAAATAAGACCAGATTTAAAGATAACTATCTCCCTTTTCACTGTAGTCAGCTTAGCTCTGACTGTGCGTTTAATGTCACTTGGAAATTACATCAAAAGTCTAAATTTGAGGCTTTTTGTGACTGTGAGGCTCCAGCCAATGACTTCTCCAAGACCTAGAAAGAGAGAAGCCTCTAAGCAAACATGGCGGGACCTGTTTCACCATGGTGTTTGGCTCACATAGCCAGGGCTCTTGTCTCCCATTGAGATCACTGTGACCTAGAGAGGGCAGGGAGATTGCCCCTTGCCACCACAGCAGCAGACATGCATTGGTGGGACCCTGCAGGTGGCAGGGCCTGGCAGACACGGATTAAGCCATTAATTAAGCAATGTGACTGACCTGCAGGGCTGAAATTAGTCAGCAGGCACCAGTGTGCCTGAGCCGGTTTTACAGCTCATGTCTCTTTGAATAGGCCAATGCCCCTTTCCCAGTTGGTAAATATTTTTAGCATCACCCTTCTGTCTGGTAAGATTGCTAGTTGGAGCAGAGGCCTCTGAGATTCCAGGAACACACCTTGTGGTAGTCTTGAATTTACCTTGTTTGTGAATTTTCAAGGGAGTACTTTTTAGTGGGCTGGATCTTATATTTGCTGGTAAAAACAACAATAAAAAAAAAAAAAACAACCACAGAAATACCCTCAAAATACAATGAATTCACCCTGGAGCTACCTAAGGAAACTACAATTTGCATGTGTAAATCAAAGGTGATTCAGCCAATTTTAGAATGCTGGTTTTAATTGCTGTGGATATGTGGGATTATATTTTTCATTCAAGAATAGTTCTTTTTATTTTTAAGATTTTATTTATTTATTCATGAGAGAGCACACAGAGAGAGGCAGAGACCCAGGCAGAGGGAGAAGCAGGGTCTCTGTAGGAAGCCAGATGCTGAACTCCATCCCAGGACTCCAGGACCACAACCTGAGCCAAAGGCAGATGCTCAACCAGTGAGCCACCCAGGTGCCCCAAGAACAGTTAGTTCTTAAATAGGGTTTTGGAGGTAGCTTTTTCTCAATTGTAGGAACAGAAGGCATACTTAGCCTAAGGGTGGACTCCTAATGGCCCTCCATTAGTGTGCAATTAGCTTGTGCTTCTAGGCATTGAAATAGCTATTTACTCAGATTGTATGAGCAAATGTTGGTTGTATAGGATTCTTAAATTGGAGGGCTCCCTGGTTCAATTTTTTCTCATGGACTGTCTTCCCCAAGAAGATGAGTTATTGAATAAAAGAGGGGATGAAAGCCTTGCGAAAAGATACCAAGTTATGGTGGTGAGTGAGGGGGAAAGTTGAAATGGGCTTCTTCCCATGAGACTGTTGGACCAAATACCAGATAAGGATAATTTCTCATCCATCTTCCCTCAGAAAGTACCCAATCTCTGTTAAAGGCAAAAGACTTGAAATCGCCCCAGATATTTCCCAGCTGAAACTTTGAGTCAAATATATAACCTTTATAATGAATCATAAATTCATAAGAGTTCTTTTAAATTCAATTTTGGTTTGTTTTTGCTCATTGGCATCATTTTACTTCCCATGTCACAGCAGTCTTTTATGCATCTGCTAAAAAGTTATGCCTCGATAATACATCAATTTTTCTATACAATTTAGGTAGACATAATAGTGAGACTAAAATAAATTA